CCCCAAAACCCCAAAACCCCAAAACCCCTATTTTATCAAAATATTTGAACGTACAAAACCTTGGCTAAGCTACAGATTATATTTCCTCAAGTTCTTTTTTGTATAGGCATGGAGGTTATCCAGGTTCTTCAGGAGTCCCTTCATGTGTATAAAATGTAGTTGGTTCTTATTCACGTGCATAAAGTTGGACAGGATTTCTATGGTGAGATGATTGAATACCTTCCTCATTTTTCTTTTCCTTTTGAGCCCAGTTATGGATATTTCGGCGTGCTTTCAATACAGATTCCTTTACCTTCTCCTCCCCCTTTTCAAATCGTCTATCTAGAGTAAAGGAGTTAGAGGAAATAAGAATTCTTCAGGATTTTCCCTTACTGTTCCACTTAATCACCCTGTTTTTGATAATTTTACGAATACTCTTGTTCCTATCCTGAAGGCTTATAAGTTTGGACGCTGAGTTCTTGAACTCAAAGGAGTTAGGATCCATCCGTGCAAAAGAAGTGTTACTTCTCTCCTCAGAAGCTATAGTATACTTCCTTCTCAAGAATGATTTGTCTTTATCAAAACCTCCATAGGTACTATTAGGTTTCCATAAATTTTTCCTGCTTCTCATAGATGCGAATGACGTCGATGTTGGCAAAAGGGGTTTAAAAGGTGGAATTTTACGTAAGGGCTTTGCCTCCATTACTAATTCAACTAAGGAGATTACTCATAGCTTACCTAAGCGTTTACAGTCTAAGGAATTCTTCATGATATCCGCATAAACCTCCAAAATATTGTTCTTGCTAATCTTAATACCATTTGGTGGATTAGTACCTATGAGCTCACTTTTGGGAGATATTACCAAAATGAGTTTGATTCATCAATTTTGTATTCTACTGATTATATAAGGGATCTTACCATTGCTACTTTCTTGGAATCAAATAACATCTCAATGACCTTAGCTCCAGTGAAAGAGTATCCAAGCTTCTTTAGGGCCTTCTGGAGGACTAAATGTGTTATGTTCCTCCCTTCAGTTTTCCCGAAGGTTGGATCAACTTCCTTAAGGCTCTTTTCTAATCTCCTTTGTAAGCACTTATTTATGATCCACCTCAGGAGTCCTAGAGTAGGCTTAGGGAAAATCTTACCCGAACCTTTCCATTGGAAGCTTCTCAAGTTTACCCTGGTCTGTAGTTAAGATTTTGTTCTGAATACTTCGAATGTTTTTTCTGCTTTTTCAAGCGATTTTGTTGTGAATTCTGGCCTTTCAATTCTATCATGATTTCAAAGAATATTTTACTTTCTTAGTAATATTGGTAGAATGGCTACTATCCGTCAGCTTTCTTGTATTCGAAGGTGTAGTACTTGAAGAGGTTTTCATGCCTATTCAACAGAGAAATAGCGTGAATTGTTATTGAAAAGTACAGACAGGAAACACCTAATGCCCAGTATGTCAGTTTCCAATAAAATTTTCATGAAAAGAATGGCTTATAAGAGTTTCTTAAGGGACAATACCTTGCATTCTAGACCTTCTCCTCTGCTTTTGAGGGGAATATCACACCGTTGTTCTCCTAGACAGGATAGAAAACTCTCAGATTTCCGGAATGAAAGACAAGGTGTAACTTACCAGTTATATGTGGTGCTTACTTCTGTTTGGTCATTGTTCGTGCCGCCCTACAGAGACATAGCGCCATGGAGCCCAAGAAAGAGTTGTCTTACCTTTGTAGAGGAGATTGCTGAATCTAGATCCCTTCTTTGCGAGTCAATTAGCAGTATATTCCCCGTTTTCATATTTATTTTAAGCAAAATTGATAGGGGTTTTGGGGTTTTGGGGTTTTGGGG